CCTCACTGTTTCACCTCACTGTTTCACCTCACTGTTTCACCTCACTGTTTCACCTCACTGTTTCACCTCACTCTAACCTTTCTTGCATCACAGGTGGAGTTTCTCCCAAGCCATTGCTTCAGCGCAGCAGCCGTGTCGCAGCGGTGGAGAGAAAGCTACCCTGATGGGAGTGCAGTTATCATAACAACACGACCTCCCTCTCTGCCTCTCCCTCTTTCCTGCTTCTTGCTCCCATCCTTTTCTGGTAGAGGTCCTCCCAAGCCATCGCTTGCGAAACAAAAAGGTGAACAAAGCAATGCTAAAACACCGTCCGAGAGCGACGAGCACTGAGAGATTCGAACTCTCGCGGGCAGAGCCCATGTACTTAGCAGGCACACGCCTTAACCACTCGGCCAAATGCTCTTGTTCGAGTGCTTTCCGCCTTGCTCAGCACTCAAGAGGGAGCTCTCCCGGCGGGAGTGCTTGCCATTACACACCACCTCCCTCTACACCCCCTCTTTTTCCCCTCAGGTCGAGTTCCTCCCCAGCCACCGCTTCAGTGCAGCAGCCGTGTGGCAGCGGTGGAGGGAGAGCTACCCTGCCGTGAGAGTGGCAGAGTGGGTGACACCCCCTATTCCTACCAGCCCTAACGAACACTTGCTATCTACCCCCTTACTCCCATCCCCGTACAGGTCGAGTTCCTCCCCAGCCACCGCTTCAGTGCAGCAGCCGTGTGGCAGCGGTGGAGGGAGAGCTACCCTGCCGTGAGAGTGGCAGAGTGGGTGACACCCCCTATTCCTACCAGCCCTAACCAACACTTGCTATCTACCCCCTTACTCCCGTCCCCGTACAGGTCGAGTTCCTCCCCAGCCACCGCTTCAGTGCAGCAGCCGTGTGGCAGCGGTGGAGGGAGAGCTACCCTGCCGTGAGAGTGGCAGAGTGGGTGACACCCCCTATTCCTACCAGCCCTAACCAACACTTGCTATCTACCCCCTTACTCCCGTCCCCGTACAGGTCGAGTTCCTCCCCAGCCACCACTTCAGTGCAGCAGCCGTGTGGCAGCGCTGGCGGGAAAGCTACCCAGATGCGAGTGCTGCTGTCATGCCATGTCACCACCCCTTCCTCCAATGCCCACACAGGTCGAGTTCCTCCCAAGCCACCGCTTCAGTGCTGCAGCAGTGTGGCAGCGGTGGAGGGAGAGAGGGGTGCATGTGTCACTGCATCACCGCTCTCCACCCCCTTGCACACCCTTTCACACCCTTTGCCCTCTTTATCCTCAGGTCGAGTTCCTCCCAAGCCACCGCTTCAGCGCAGCAGCCGTGTGGCAGCGGTGGCGAGAGAGCTACCCAGATGGTCGCTGCGCGCAGCCCGACTCTATTACCTTCTTCACCGGGGTGAGCTCCCTTCTGGGTCGAGATCAATCATATGCTATGCAGCTGGGGCCCTTTTTCTTGTGGGGTAAGGCAAGGTCCTGTGTTGGCTACCCCGACGGCCGCTGCGCGCAGCCAGAATCGATCACATTCTTCACCGAAGTGTGCCTTATTTCCCTCGGAACACTCTCCTTAAAAACTCATCTCTAAATGGCCATGGCAATGCCCACCTTCCTTGATGGCCGCTCACTTACTCTCGCACTCCAACCCCCCCTCTCCCATTCTCCAGGTTCTAACTCACTACATGCGGCGGCTGCTACAAGAGTTTGACCGCATCCCCCTGCAGCACTCTCACACGCCTTATCATCACTCTCCTATCTCTCTTTCCCCCTGCCCCCTTTCTCTCTTCTACCTTTTCCCAGGTACCAACCCATTGCATGCGGCTGCTACAGGAGTTCGACCGCATATCAATGCAGCGACAGCAGTTATAGCACTCGCATATCTGTCTGTGTCGCCCTCCCCTTCTCTCCTCTCCCATCCCCACCAGGTACCAACCCACTACATGCGCCTGCTACAGGAGTTCGACCGCATGCCCCTGCAGCTGCAGCAGCCGTAACCTCTCTCCCTCTCACCTCACCTTCTCTCCCGTGCCACCTTCCCCTCCCAATCTCCCGTCTCCCATCCCCCATCCCCCAGGTACCAACCCACTACATGCGCCTGCTACAGGAGTTTGACGGCATGCCACTGCAGCTGCAGCGGAAATCGGCTCTGGCCGCCAGCAAGCTCAGGCTCATGGTGAGTTGGGTCGGGACTTGAAGTGGTGGCATGGAGGTGACTGGGGAGTGATGAGGGAACGGAATAGGGGGAGGGTTGCATTGAGCAGTGGGCATGCCTCTGCAGCTGCAGAGGAAGTCAGCCCTTGCTGCGAGCAAGCTGCGGCTGATGGTGAGTTCGGGACTTTAGGTGGTGGACGGGGGACACTGGAACTAGGCACGGAGTTGCACGGAGCATTGATGATGCCACTGCAGCTGCAGCTGCAGAGCAAGTCAGCTCTTTCTGCTACAACAGCACTGCCTCCCTGCTTGACTTATCCTCCCCCTTCACCCCTCCTCCCTTCCTCCCCCACCATCAGATGTGCAGTTCTGCTTCATGCCCCGATGAGCTCATGCGGCGGTGGCAGCAGGTCACGAGGCAGGAGATGCAGTTCCACAACAGCGCTGCCTAACATCTTCCCTTCCACCCACCCACCTTCTTTTCACCCCTACCATCAGATGAGTGGCTCTGCCGCATGCCCGGACGAGCTCATGCGGCGGTGGCAGCAGGTCACGGGGCAGAGGCTGCTGGAGAGATACGGCATGACGGAGGTGAGGGGGTGTGGGAGATACGGAAACTTGCAAAATTGGGCAACGCAAGCCAGAGTGGTACGAGTGGGAAAGTGCGACACCAAGTCACGGGAGAGGTTGCTGCAGCGATACGGGATAATTGGAAAGGCTCCAGCAGCCTTCGAGATAATAAATTGGTCCTTACCTTCTCCTCTTGCTCCTCTTGTCTCCTTTCCTCCCACTGCTCTCCACTGCTCTCCACCGCTCTCCACCGCTCTCCAACCCATTGCTCCATCCAGTTCGCCATGGCGCTCACCAACCCGTTGCTAGGGGAGAAGAAATCAGGCTCGGTTGGTGTGCCACTCAGAGGGGTGAAGGTGAGCAAGGAAGTCTGGTAGACTGTGGTCTAATGTGGTCAAATGTGGTCGAATGTGGTCAGGTGCAGTCAATTGCGGTCAACTGAGGTCAGCTGAAATCAGCGTGTTACTGGGAGAGAAGAAATTAGGCTCAGCAGGCGTGCCACTCAGCGGGGTGAAGGTGAGTGGTGAGACTCATATTCTCTGATAGACTGTGGTCAACTGCGGTCAACTGCAGTCAACTGCAGTCAGTTGCGGTCAACTGTGGTCGAATGTGGTTGATTTGGGACAACACATTGCAGGGAGATAAGAAATCAGGCTCAGTGGGGCATGGGGCGTGCTGCTCAGCGGGGTGAAGGTGAGCGTTGAAGTCTGCTAGACTGCGGTCAAGCATGGTTAATTGCGGTCACCTGTGGTCAAATGTGGTCAACTGTGGTCACCTGTGTGGCTCTGTGTGTTTGCCTCTGCTGGGAGAAATCAGACCAGATTAGTGGGCGTGCCTCTCAGATGAGTCTATTTGAGTCTTGACTTTCGTATTCACTGGTAGATTCTGGTCAATTGCAGTCAACTGAGGTCAACTGTGCTCAAGTGCAGTCAACTGCGCTCTCGTCCTCTGATGCCCCTCGCATTCCTCCCTGCCTTCCCATCAGGTGAAACTAGCAGACGCTGCAAATGCCAGGCAAAGCAACGCCAGCAGCAGCAGCAGCAGCAGCAGCAACAGCAGCAGCACCGAACGAGCCATGCTGGGTCACTTGTCTGCTCCAGGAGCGTTCAGCAGCAGCAGCAGCAGCAGCAGTGGTGGTGGTGGCGCCAGTCCCAGCAGCAACTGTGGCACGTGGAGTGGGGGCTGGGGAGAGCTACTGGTGAAGAGTCCTGGCATGTTCCTGCGATACTGGAACCGACCCAAGGTGTGTCGAATGGCAGTTAGCAGTGGTGGTGCTTTGGGTGCATGGTGTGGTGGCAGTGGTGGCATGAGTGCATGCATGGGGAAGCAGCAGCAGCAGCAGCAGCAGCACGTGGAGTGGAGGATGGGAAGAGGTATTGGTGAAGAATCCTGGCATGTTCCTGCGATTCTGGAACCGTTACCAGGTGGGTTGCATGCATGGTGCGGTGTGGTGGCAATGGTGCATACATCACATGGGGTGAGTGAGTGCTTGTAGTGGGCGGCATGACCAAAGGCGTAGCAGCGCCAGCAGCAGCAGCAGCAGCAGCAGCAGCAGCAGCAGCAGCAGCAGCAGCAGCAGCAGCAGCAGCAGCAGCAGCAGCAGCAGCAGCAGCAGCAGCAGCAGCAGCAGCAGCAGCAGCACCAGCAGCAGCAGCAGCAGCAGCAGCAGCACCAGCAGCAGCACCAGCAGCAGCAGCAGCAGCAGCAGCAGCAGCAGCAGCAGCACCAGCACCAGCAGCAGCACCAGCAGCACCAGCACCAGCAGCAGCACCAGCAGCAGCAGCAGCAGCAGCAGCACCAGCACCAGCAGCAGCACCAGCAGCAGCAGCAGCACCAGCAGCAGCAGCAGCAGCACCAGCACCAGCAGCAGCAGCAGCACCAGCAGCAGCAGCAGCACCAGCACCAGCAGCAGCACCACCAGCAGCAGCACCAGCAGCAGCAGCAGCAGCAGCAGCAGCAGCACCAGCAGCAGCACCAGCAGCAGCAGCAGCACCAGCAGCAGCAGCAGCACCAGCAGCAGCAGCAGCACCAGCAGCAGCAGCACGTGGAGTGGGGGCTGGGGAGAGCTACTGGTGAAGAGTCCTGGCATGTTCCTGCGATACTGGAACCGACCCAAGGTGGGTTGAGTTGGACGAGCAGTGGTGGCATGAATGCATGAGGAAGAGAGCAGCAGCGGCAGCAGCGGCGGGGGCATGTGGAGTGGGGGGTGGGGAGAGTCAATGGTGAAGAGCCGTGGCATGTTCCTGCGATACTGGAATCGACCCCAGGTGCGATGAGTTGTCTTTTGAGACGTCTCAAAAGACGACCCCAGGTGCGATGAGTTGAAACTTGAGTTTATTGCATCCGCATTGTTGCTCATTCCCCCCCCCCCCCCTTTACCCTCCTCATTCCCTTCTTTTCCTGCTCATTCCCGTGCATTGTCTCTCAGGAAACAGCAGAGGCGTTTGACCCACAGGGGTGGTTCCGGACGGGCGATATTGCATCGGTGGACAGCCATGGGTACTGGCAGATTCACGGCAGTGAGTTCGCGCATGCATAGAATGTATGCTATGTATGTTTTTTTAGAATTCTCAAAAAACATACGATGTATGCTACATGCGCAATGTGTGCGTGAGTGCGTGCATGTATGGGTCTGCGATATTGCAGCCATGGGTACTTACTGGCAAGGCAAATACATGGGAGTGAGTGCTATTGCCTAGGATGTGTGTTGTATAGATGTGTGCTCGTATGAGGTGTTTGCTGTACATGTGTGCATGCATGCATGCATGCCTTTTGGGTCGACTCAAAAGTCACCTTGTATAGATGTGTGCTCATATGAGGTGTTTGCTGTACATGTGTGCATGCATGCATGCATGCACGCCTTTTGAGTCGACTCAAAAGTCACCTTGTATAGATGTGTGCTCATATGAGGTGTTTGCTGTACATGTGTGCATGCATGCCTGAATGGAGTTACATGTTTCTTTCACAAAGCGTTACATAATTCTCTTGGGTTAAATATTATCCTTTTCAATAATTATTCCCCTCTCCTCTCCCCCACTCTCCCCTCTCGCAAATACACATACAGACGTTATCCAAACGCAGAGCTTGAAGGTTTTCCTTCCCTCGCTTCATCCCCAACCTCCTCTCTCCCTCTCTCCATTCTCCTCTCCCCTCTCCCAGGGGCGAGTGTGGACATAATCAAGACGCGAGGCTTTAAGGTTTCTGCCCTTGAGATTGAATCGAAGCTGCTGGAGGTAAGGAAAGGGGAGGGGTGATGAATTGTGAAGAACGGTGATGAATAATGATGAGTGGCGATGAGAGGTGATGGGTGGTGGTGATGAGGGCTGATGGGGCAGTGTGGACGTAACCAAAGCGAGCAGCTTCAAGGTTGAGTGCGGTTGGCTGCGGTAGTCAACCCCTCCCAGTGCGGTAAGGAGCGGGGACTGGTGGTGATGTGCGGAAAACAGCATGAAAAAACTCTTATAATAAATCTCTTTCTCCCCTCCCCCTTCTCCCCATCCTCCCCCTCTTCCACCTCCCAGCATCCGCTCATATCCGAGGCAGCAGTGTTGGGAGTGCCGGACAGGCAGCAGGGGGAGGCAGTGGCGGCAGTGGTGGTGCTTCGGGTAGGGGTTTACAGATTACTTGACATATCTCGTTTTTCCCTCCCTTCGCTCCCCTTCCCCCTTCCCAGCATCCGCTCATAGCCGAGGCAGCAGTGTTGGGAGTGCCGGACAGGCAGCAGGGGGAGGCAGTGGCGGCAGTGGTGGTGCTTCGGGTAGGGGTTTACAGATTACTCGACATATCTCGTTTTTCCCTCCCTTCGCTCCCCTTCCCCCTTCCCAGCATCCGCTCATATCCGAGGCAGCAGTGTTGGGAGTGCCGGACAGGCAGCAGGGGGAGGCAGTGGCGGCAGTGGTGGTGCTGGGAGCAGCCCAGCAGCGGAACCACCAGCAGGGGCAGGGGCAGGGCGCTACTGCGGGAGGTGTTACTGGGGGAGGTGTTTCTGACACCAGCGAGGTAGCACCTGGAGAGCATCCTGTGATCACTCTGGACGAGCTGAGGAAATGGGCAGCCCCCCGCATGGCCCATTACAAGGTGCGCTGTGGTGTGTGTTGCAGCCGTGCCATGCCATGCCATGCCATGCCATGCCATGCCGTGCCATGCCATGCCATGCCATGCCATGCCGTGCCATGCCATGCCATGCCATGCCATGCCATGCCATTCGATGCCATGCCATGCCATGCCATGCCATGCCGTGCCATGCCATGCCATTCGATGCCATGCCATGCCATGCCATGCCATGCCATGCCATTCGATGCCATGCCATGCCATGCCATGCCATGCCATGCCATGCCATGCCATGCCATGCCATGCCATGCCGTGCCATGCCAAGCCATGCCAAGCCATGCCATGCCATGCCATGCCATGCCATGCCATGCCATGCCGTGCCATGCGATGCAACCATCTTTCTTTCTCTCCTGCAATACTGACCATATTCCACCTCCCCTCGCCCGTCCCCCTTGCAAGCAGGTGCCATGGCGCTTGAGAGTGGTTGCTACCATGCCACGCAACGCCATGCTTAGCCATGGCACGCCATGCCATGCATCCTCTTGTCTCCCCTTCATCATGACCATGTGCCACCTCCCCTCGCCCATCCCCCTTGCAAGCAGGTGCCATGGCGCTTGAGAGTGGTTGCTACCACGCCACGCAACGCCATGCTAAGCCATGGCACGCCATGCCATGCATCCTCTTGTCTCCCCTTCATCATGACCATGTGCCACCTCCCCTCGCCCTTCCCCCTTGCAAGCAGGTGCCATCGCGCTTGAGAGTGGTTGCTACCATGCCACGCAACGCCATGGGCAAGGTGAGATGCGACAGCAGTAGGAACATGGCATGTGATATGCACTGCCATGCCATTGAATGCAACATGGCATGTGATATGCACTGCCATGCCATTGAATGCAACATGGCATGTGATATGCACTGCCATGCCATTGAATGCAACATGGCATGTGATATGCACTGCCATGCCATTGAATGCAACATGGCATGTGATATGCACTGCCATGCCATTGAATGCAACATGGCATGTGATATGCACTGCCATGCCATTGAATGCAACATGGCATGTGATATGCACTGCCATGCCATTGAATGCAACATGGCATGTGATATGCACTGCCATGCCATTGAATGCAACATGGCATGTGATATGCACTGCCATGCCATTGAATGCAACATGGCATGTGATATGCACTGCCATGCCATTGAATGCAACATGGCATGTGATATGCACTGCCATGCCATTGAATGCAACATGGCATGTGATATGCACTGCCATGCCATTGAATGCAACATGGCATGTGATATGCACTGCCATGCCATTGAATGCAACATGGCATGTGATATGCACTGCCATGCCATTGAATGCAACATGGCATGTGATATGCACTGCCATGCCATTGAATGCAACATGGCATGTGATATGCACTGCCATGCCATTGAATGCAACATGGCATGTGATATGCACTGCCATGCCATTGAATGCAACATGGCATGTGATATGCACTGCCATGCCATTGAATGCAACATGGCATGTGATATGCACTGCCATGCCATTGAATGCAACATGGCATGTGATATGCACTGCCATGCCATTGAATGCAACATGGCATGTGATATGCACTGCCATGCCATTGAATGCAACATGGCATGTGATATGCACTGCCATGCCATTGAACGCATCATGGCCCATCCATCATGCCATGCCATGCACCACCACCACCACCACAGGAAAAGTGGGACGGCAGTAGCAGCCTCGATGCAAAATGCAATGCTATGACATGCCATGGTATCACATGCAAAACAGCACACGCAAAGCCATGCACATGGCCACATGCCATTCCTTATGATGGCTGATAGCATGTCATGGCATCACCGATTTCCACCTTCTCACGTCGCATATCCATCTCTCTCGTGTCTTCCCTGGTAGGTCAACAAGAAGGATCTCCTGAAGAGCATCTTTGCCCCTATGCAGCAGTCTTGACTCGTTAACAGCTCACTGTCCTACAGGTTGCAGCTTTTCTTATGTTCTTTTATTCTATTTTACGAATCAAAACTTGGTCTTTTTTCATTTTCTCGCTCCGACTCGGGTGGCTTCGTACAATAGACAGTGGTTTTATAAGCTAAAAGCTTACTGCTTCTCTGCAGGTGAGATATGTAAGTCAAGGACTGATGCGAGCTGTTACGGTATGAGTTGTTAACAAGGGTGCATAAATGCTGAGAATGTGAGTTTAGTGGTGTCCGACTTCCAAAGCAATATTACCAATAGGCGCCTTCAGTTATTGAACGAACTTGGACATACGGTACTAGCCTGGTCTTGGAGCCTGTGCCCTTACGAGCGTCACACTTCGGACTGTGGTGAGTTGTGCTGTTGCAGAAACAATCAAATGTGTAATCATACATTTATGGGCATGACAAAAACATTGCAAGTGTACTATACTGTAACATCTTCTAAGCAGCAGCACTCAGCAGGTTTCAGCAGCAGCGCCAGCAGCACAGGCTAGGGGGTATCCACCCAGAAACCACCGGTTTAGTTGACCAACCCCTCCTGAAACGCTCCTCACGCTCATTCCATGCTTCAGCGTTGCTCCCTTCTCAGCTGCTACTGAAACATCTTCCTAGCAGCAGCACTCAGCATGTTTCGGCAGCAGCAGCAGCAGCAGCAGCAGTCCCAGCAGCACAGGCGAGGTTGAGCTGGGCCACCCCACTGACTTTTTAAGAATTTTCATAAGGTTCCAACACCAGCAGCAGCAGTGCCAGCAGCAGTAGTGCCAGCAGCACTAGTGCCAACAGCAGTCCCAGAAGCACAGGCGAGGTTGCGTCCACCAAGGAACCACTGGTTGAGCTGGGCCACCCCACCAGACACGCTCTTTCTGACCCTAGCGCCATGCTTCTGTGCGGAAACCTTGCCAGAAACATTCCCCGAAGCAGCAGCAGCAGCAGAGAAAGCAGGAGCAGCAGCACTGGCTGTAGAGACACCTTCGCTGGCACCAGCGGCAGATGTGTGGCTGCTGGCAGAAGGGACTTGAGGGTCATCTTTGCCACTTTTGGCAAATTCTCCACTTTTGGCAAACTCACCAGTCCCAGTAGCAATGGTACAGGACCCATAGAGGGAAGGTGGAAGAGAAGTCCCAACCTTGATGAACCGAGGTTGGGACTGCTGTGGTTGTGCAGTAGAAGAGGCTGCTTGTACAGTGTACGATGGTGTAGATTCTTCCAATTCTGAAGATAATGCAGACACTGTAGATAGGGTGTCGAAGATGCTTGGGTGTCGTACTGTAGGCATCGTAGATGCTTGGGTGTCTAGTGATGCTCTGCGAGGGTTGGACTTTTGAGTCGACTCAAAAGCAGACACTGTAGATAGGGTGCGTACTGTAGGCATCGTAGATGCCTGGGTGTCTAGTGATGCTCTGCGAGGGTTGGACTTTTGAGTCGACTCAAAAGCAGACACTGTAGATAGGGTGCGTACTGTAGGCATCGTAGATGCCTGGGTGTCTAGTGATGCTCTGCGAGGGTTGGATGAGTAGCAGAGAACTGCCATCTGCAAGGTGAAGAGAGATACAAAGGAGTGTATTTCGGTTTGTATGAGTTTTAATCACAAGGCGAGGCACCCACTGATGCGACGAATACATAGTAATTATTGCGAAAACGGACAGGGAAGGTAGAGTGAGGGATGCTGAAAAAATTGGATGCGGATCAATGTGTAGTGGTGCAAAAATCAGCAGACATAATTGGTGGTATGTATTTAAGTGGTGGTATGCATGTAAGTTTAGAAAGCATAACAAAAGGGACACATGTAGACGTGCATAGGGACAATGAGAAGACATAATGAATCCTCACCTTCGACTGTATTGAATCCTCACCTCGACACTCAAGGCGCTGTCTTCTTCCCACGTGGAGTCCTCTACAGCTGTAGCAGAACTCGCTACATCCGAGCACATCTGTAGCAGCGGGGGGGAGCAGGCCTGCTGAAGCCAGACAGCATCCTCGTCCACCCGAAGGCTGTAGCGGCCGTTGCTACAGCCGTTAGTCTCGTTCACCCAGTCCTGCACTGTTGCAATGCTGCTGTAGCTGCTGCTGCCGATCCACCCATGGCTTTCAATACTACTGCTGCTGCTGCTACAGTCGTCCCAAGGGCTGTAGCTGCAGCTGCCGTCCCGCCTGAGGTTCGTTCTGTTGGTACTGCCGCCGTTGCCAATGCTACAGCCGCCCCAGGGGCTGTAGCTGGTGACGTCTCGCCCTTGATTCCTCCCGCTAGCATCGCCACTGCTGCTACAGCCACTCCATTGGCTGTAGCGCTGGCTCTGACTCCTCAAGCCATACGAGTTCAGAGTACTTAAATCGACAGGATTACTGTCGAGGTAACTCCTGCCTGCAGCAGCGCCAGCAACAGCAGTGCTGATGGTTCCAACGGGGTTACTTTTGTCAGTAGCAGCGCCAGCAGCAGCAGCAGCAGCTTCGTATGTATGGCGGCGCTGAATCCGATTCACTGCATGAGGCGCATACATGATACTGCTCCTATCTGTAGCAGCACCAGCAGCACCAGCACCAGCACCAGCAGCACCAGCACCAGCACCAGCAGCAGCAGCAGCAGCAGCAGCAGCAGCAGCAGCAGCAGCAGCTTCGTATGTATGGCGGCGCTGAATCCGATTCACAGCATGAGGCGCATGCATGATACTGCTCCAATCTGTAGCAGCAACAGCCGCACCAGCACGAGCACCAGCAGGAGTAACACCAGCAGCAGCACCAGCAGCAGTAACACCAGCAGCAGTAACACCGAGTGAGATACTACTACGGCTGCGATGGAGCATGGCTGGGGGCGGCATTGAATCCGACACCCGAATCGATTGCTGGGCCGTCCCAAACAAGCTCCACTCTGCAGCACAATCGGCGCCAGCACCACCAGCAGCAGCAGCAGCAGTACCAACAGCTGTATGTCCAAGCATGGTGCTACTATGGCTGCGATGGAGCATGTCTCGACGCGGCATTTCCAACATTCGAGTCCATTCAGAAGCTCGGTCCACAGAAGTTCCGAAGCCTGTAATGTGATCCCTCTTCTGAGAAGGCTCGGGCCTAAAAATCCTCTCGAATCCGACGGCAGCCGCGCGTGGCGTGTCCGATTCCACGTCAGCGTCGAGCCAAGCCGCGACGAGTTCAGCCGTTCGTGAGTTACCACCGTCGCCCCCGGCGAAAGGTCCAATTTCGCAGCTTCTTTCGCGACGTGACGGTTCGGTGGATGATGGCACGAATGCCGAGCCGCCGCGCAGCCGCGGTTTGAAGTCGTTGACTTGAGCTGACTTGGCGGAGATCGGCGTGTCGTCGCCGCTGACCTGCCAGCTCAGCGCGGCGGCACGGAGCGTCCAGCTGGCATCATCAGAACCGTCCAGCGGAGGATCAGGCGAAGTATCGGAACCGTCCGCGACGCGACAGCGATCAATGGACGAAAGTAACACGTTGTCGCGATCGTGGGTTCGAAGCGCCTCGGTTGAAAGGTATGATTCATGAGGCGCCTCGCTGGAAAATTCACCACCCGCGCAGCCGCCGGCGGCTGTAAGGTAGTAAGTCTTAGCTGGAACGAGGATTGAATCTGCGGATACGGCGGGCAGCGGTGGAGAGGGCCTCGCCGGGTCTGACGCCGCGAATTGCGGTGGATTGGTGACGAGAACATGACGGGGGAAGTCTGCAAGGACCCTGCGCGCGGAAATTCCGGCGGGAATGGCGGAATTGGGGCCCGAATCGCAGCCGGACGGAGTACCATCGGGGA